GGGTTTCTTTGGGATGGTGTAAGACAAAAGCCCCTTACAAGGGCACTGGTGTTGTGACAGAGCCCTTTGCCCTCGAGTCCCACACTTAGAATGGCTGAGCCGTGTCTGAGCCCTGTCCTGGCACCTGTGACACATGTCCCATGCAGCCCTGGGACAGCCTTGAGCCAGGGCACTGCTTTTATTAGAGCCCAGCAGGACCTCTGAGCCAGACTGTCCTACCATGGCACTTGGAAATCCTCTTCCCAGGCAGAGCCAGGCTGCAGGGAGTGTTCACTAACGGGGAAGGACTTCCCTGGCTGCCCTCCCACCAGCTCAGGCTGGGCTGGAAAAGCCGCCTTAGCCTTAAATGTCCCAGATGCTCTGGGGAGGAGGATGCTGGATTAGCTCACCGGGAGTCTCCTGGGAAGGCTTTCAACTCTCCCTGACCTGTCACTCTGAGAGAAGTCACTTTGTTTCTGCACCTCAGCCAGGCTGGGGGCAGAACCGCCTGGCAAACCCTGTGAAGTCAGCACAAGGAAGAGCAGGGCTGGGATTTACCCACACATGGGAAGGACAGATGGTTGTGAGCTCCACCGTGCCTACAGCACAGGGAACAGGTCGGGAATGACAGCGTGGGATGCTCACAGCAGGGGATGCTCACAGCGTGGGATGCTCAAGGCTGGGACATGGAACTGGAGCCTCCCTCCTGGCTGACAGCCCCAGGCTCCTCCCGAGGCTGCTCCCCTCACCCTCCATGGATAATCCCGAGGCCACCCAGAAGCTTTTCCATCCCTCCGAGGTGTGTGACACCATCCTTCTCCCTGTTCATCCTCATCCCTGCACAGCTCCCACCTCCAAACAGTGGTTTGAAAGGCTCTAATCCCAGCCTTGATGTAATCTCCACCTGAATGATTCATTGTCCAGACCCTCCAGGCCTTCCTGCTGGTTTTTTGTCCAGTAGGCAAACACTTGTGGCTCCGTTAACCCCTTCCTGGCCTCCCCTTGGAGGGCTTTGGGCATCTTAGGCTGCGGCAATAACAGGGTTCTGCTGGGGTCCTGATGGTGCTGTGCTCAGCATAAGGATCTTATTCCCAACAATTCTCCCAGCATGATGTTCATTAAGGCCCTTAAAACCATGATTAAATGGTCCGTGGTGGTGGAGAGGAGTGACAGTATTTGGGGGTTTCTGTCGTGGTTGGGACATGTCCTCAGCTCGGGGGTTCCAGTGTGGATGTCTCAGAGGCCTCAGCAACATGCCATGAAAAAAAACAGGCATTGAACATGGAAATCCCCAGAGGGGGAGATTAAAGCCAACAGGTGCTGGAAAAATGTTTCTGCATATTAGAACTTAATTAGATTGGAAAATGAATTCCAGATGGGCTAATTACACATGAGTTGTTGCAGGTTCCTTCTTGCAGGGGCAGGAGTGTGTGTTTGGGAAGCTGATTGGATCTGATTCCAGCCTCTTGTGGTATCGCTGAGATCTAGGAGGAGGTTGGCTCTGGGCCCCTGTGATCTCCCAAAAAAGGCTCCACAGCTCCTCCTGCTCCTGTCAGAGCCACAGAGATCTGAGACTGCGACCACGGGGCCAACAACCTGTCATGTGCAGCAGCAGAGATCCTTATCGAGGTTGCTTTTCAAAGAGCTTCAAAGGCTGGAAGGGAGAGTTTTTTTCCAGTTCCTGGGGACAGGGGATGCTTGGGGAGGGGATCGGGAAGGGGGGCTGTGCCCGGAGGGGAGCAGCATGCAGGAGCTTGCTGGGACGAGGTGGAACTGGGAGCACTGGGAGAGCAGAGCATGAGAGCTGCTGCTCCACATAGCTGCGCTGGGTAAACACCGCGGGGAGGAGCTGGGAGTGATGTTCTCCCGGGAAAACACTGCTGGGAGGAGAAGGAGGGAGAGAGGAGAGAGGCAGCCATGGGCAGCTGAGCCCTGCACTGCCTGGATCAGCCCGAGGAATGTTGCTCCCCTCCCACAGGGACCCACTGGAGGAGTGGTGCTCACAGCCCTGAGGTCCCCAAGGCCAGGGTGACACCTCTGGGGTGACTCCAGCCCCCAGGAGCCAATGGAAACTCAACCCTAAGGTCCCTGAGTGGGAGTGATGGGAGTATGATTTCTGTGGGGCTCAATGAATGATTTATACCACGTTAAGTGATGATTTGGGTGGCAAACACAACCCCTGGTGCAGAATCCTTAATGGGAAGTGTCAGCTCTCCTGGATTTACGTCCGAGTCAGCGTCTGAACTCGGCATGTTTGGCATCAATCAGGGCTAATTGTCAGGTTGTGATTAATGAACGTGTGCCAAACACTTGTCTCCCTAATTAAACTTGATGTTCCCTTCGTCTGGCAAAGCAAAACAAGTTTCCACCGTGGGATGTGCTGGCTCTGAGGGTCTGGGTGTGAGAAAGTGCCTGGGTTCCCAGATCTCAGGGGAGACTTGGATGAGGGACTTCTGGGTCTGCAGAAAGGGAGGTTTGCCTTGGCTGAGGTGGCAGATGTGGCCTGTCCCTCCCTTTAAGACAGAGCTGCTGTTTTCAGTGACATTTAGAATCATGGGATATTTGGAGTTGGAAGGGACCCACAAGGATCATGGAGTCCAACAACCCCAAGAATCGCACCTTGATTTACACTCCTTAGGTAATTCCAGGTCCCTCTCCAGTGGGAGATAAGCCCAGGGTGGTTTGTGACCACACACTCCCATAGTTCACAAGGAAATAGAGATCTCCAGCTTCAGGGACCTGCAGGGAATTGGACAGGCCTGCAGCACCCAGCTGGGTCCTTCCCACACCCTCAGTGATCTGCCACAGCTGTGAATCCTGTGTGGGTGATTCCAGGGCAGAATCCCATGGGCTCCACACCACTTCCATGCTCAGGAGTAATCCAACTGTTCTTCTTTCAGGACATAGACAAGTTTGGGAACGAGATCACCCAGCTGGCTCGGCCCCTGCCCGTCGAGTACCTCATCATAGACGTGAGTACACCCTGGGACAGGAGATGGTCAGGGCAGAGCAAAGCTCTTAACCCACCCCAAAATTCCCATTGGAGGTGATTCCTGATTATCCTGCTCTCCCTACTGCTGCCAGGCGCAGGAGGCTGCCCTTCTCCGTGGGGTCAGTGTGGTGCCAGGAACACACTTTTCTTCCCAGAAAGGCACTGCCTGGTGCCTTATCAAGCTGGCACAGAGCCACATGGCCAGGAAGCAGCAATCCCATGGATCCCTGTGCTGGGCAGTGCCTAATGAGGGAACTCCAGCCTCCAGCTGCCTGTCTGGAGCAGCAATTAGGGATCCATCTCCTTCCAGTGACTCAGCACGTTGTCCAGAAATGCTTTTTCCTGGAGGAAGGAATTCACAGCTTGGCCAGAGCAGAGCTGCTGCCAGGCACGGCAAGGCTCAGCCCTGGGGCTGGGAAGTGAACCGGGAAGGCAGGAAGGGAAATAATTGGGATGACAGCTGATACTGCTGGAGTTGGGGGTGGTGCCAACAGCGATTAAATCCACACGGAGCAACTGCTCTGGTCCAGCTGCCCCTGGCACAGACAGCGCCGGAGCACAGGGATTCCTGCAGCAGTGACAGATCCCACCTGTTCCTGGGATACCTGAGGAGTCATTGGGATGAGAACATCGGGATGGGACACGCACTAGGAGCCCCCCAGGGTCCCCTCCTGGCAGAGCTGTGCTGGGATCACTGCGTCCCAGTGACCTGTGCAAGGAGGGATGTTCTCCCTGGCATCTGTCAGGACCAAGCCCCATTTACTTCCCTCCCTCCAGCTTCCTTAGAAATGCCTTCCGGGGGCTGAGGGATGTGCTGATGGAATGTCACTGTGAATTAAACTAAAAGCCATCAGATCCCTGTGGGATCCCTCACTGTCCTCCTGGCTGAGCTGGGATTATAGCCATGGCTGCTCTGGGCTATCCAGAGCCTTGATTCCCATATCCCACTGACTTCTGATCATCCTTCCTTGGATTTTTCCTTCTTAGATTACTACAACTTTCCCCAAGGATCCGGTGTACACTTTTTCTATTTCTCAAAATCCATTCCCCATCGAGAACCGAGACGTGCTGGGAGAGACTCAGGTGAGGATTGATCCTTGATGAAGCCACATTCCATAGGGATGGGCTCTGCCTCCCGTGGGATATTTGCAGAGGGACAGCTGTGCCCTCAAGTCACCCCTTCTTGCTTCAGCTTGCCAAACTCCTTCCTGCATGGAGCAGTGTCTGCATGTCAATGCTGATTGTCAGCTGGATGCTGTGTTCCTCTGGCTACGTGATGGGATCAGAGCTCCCTGTGCCCCCTCCAGGTCAGGGGGCTCCAGCCCCACAGGGACAGCACTTCTCCCCACGGACCAGGACAGGGATGAGGCTCTGTTACTCCACTCCAGAAGCAATGATTTCTCTTTGTGGCTGGAATTTGAAAGCACAGAGAGCTGTTCCCGCAAGAGGAAGTGGAGGAAGGGGCTGCTTCATCCATTCCCCTCTGCCTCTGTTCCATAAGGACTGGACTGGAGCTGACTGGCCCCACTCAGCACCTCTTGGGGCTGAGATCAGCTCTGTGTGCTGGGGGTGGTCAGAAAGAGCTGGTGTGGGTCCAGAGATCCTTTCCCTTGGAAGTTGTTAGCTGGGATTCAGTCAGCCAGGCTAGGGGCTGGTTTTGGGAACATCCCTGCAGATTCCCAGAGGAGACAGGAATGTCTGTGAGTGGATCCAAATAGGAAATGACTCCTCATTTCTGCCCCTTTCTGCAGGACTTCCACAGCTTGGCCACGTACCTGTCCCAGAACACTTCTTCCATTTTCCTAGACATCATTTCTGATTTCCATCTGCTCCTCTTCCTGGTCACAAACGAGGTCATGCCTCTGCGGGTACGTAACAGGCTGAGCAGGGTCCCATCGCTGTCCCTAGAGCCCCCAGCTCCTCGGGGGTCCCATAGGAGTGTGGGGGTGACTGTCCCTGTTCAGGGCCTGACACTGCCTCTTCCCAGCAGAGCTGTTGGGAGAAGGTTTAAAAGCGTTTTTAATGTTTAAAAGCTGTTTTTAAAGCTCAAACACAAAGCTCCTGAGCCGCTGGGAGCTCTGAGAAGGAGGTGGTTGTCCACACAGCCCGGCCTGAGCCAACTTGGCTGCAGCTCCCAGAGCTGGAAATGTTTTCAGAATTATCTCAGAATCAGGAATTCTGTGGGAATGATAAGGAGCTCAGAGCCCCCAGGCCTGGCTGTGCAGCTCTGCTGCCCTTGGCTGGGCACTGGGGCCTGGAGGCTGCTCAGTCCATGCTGAGCACCAACACTGCTGGAGGCTCGCAGACTGAGCCAGCTGGGAGAGTGTTTGCCAGAGGCTGTGCATGTGGGAGGCAGCTGGGATGACCCTGGGCAGCTGGAGATCAGGCTGGGACTAGGAATGGGGGCTGGAATGACCTGAGATGGACAGTTTGCACCCCAGAGTCAGGGACTGACTCTGAGCAGCTGGAGGTTGGGATAGGGCTGGGGATGAGGGCTGGATTGTTCCAGGAAGGAGGGTTTGCACCCCTGCAGTCAGGATCAGCCCATGGCGTGGCAGTTGGCTGCAGTGGGAGGTGATGCCTCCTCTAAACAGAGAAAAGGAAGCTTTTGGGGTCTGGGAGGAGCAGAGGAATAAACCAGGGCACCCCAAGGAGCTCAGGAAAGGGGGAACAGCTCAGGTTCAGGGTCCTGCCTTGCTGTGCTGGGGCAGGAGGGCAGGGAGCAGATCCCTCTTCCCAGCCCCTGCCATTTGCTTCCTGTGGCTTCCAGGACAGCATCAGTTTGTTGCTGGAAGCTGTGAGGACCAAAAATGAGGAGCTTGCACAGACCTGGAAAAAATCTGAGCAGTGGGCGACCATCGAGCAGCTCTGCAGTAAGAGGGGGGGCCTGGGGCAGGGTGCCCTTGGGAACGGGGAGCTCTTGGGAAAGGGGGTCCCTTGGCAGAGCTGGCTGGTGTCTACATGGTGCTGGTTCCAAGTAACCATGGAGGCTGCTGGAGACTAGGGGGGAGGAAAACTGTTCCTTGGTCATGGAATCATGGAATGCTTTGGGTTGGAAGGGACCTTAAAGCTCATCTCATTCCACCCCCTGCCATGGAGTGGGACACTAGCCCAGGTTTCTCTAAGCCCCATCCAGCTTGGCCTTGAACAGTCCTAGGGATGGGGCAGGCATGGTGACCATGGGGTGGGCTGGGAACTGTGTGGTGGGATGAGCAGAGGGATGCCCTGGCTCTCCCTGCAGGCACGGGGGGTGTCCCGGGGCTGTGGGGTGGGATGAGCAGAGGGATTCCCTGGCTCTCCTCACAGGCACGGTGGGTGTCCCTCTCTCGGGGCTGCAGGAGTACGGTGCCATGG